CGCCCCTCTGCGCGTGCGCACCTCGGGGACGCAGTCCGAGCCGGGCGGGCTGCCAGAGGCTGGGGGTCGGAGCGCCGCATCGCAATCCTGCCCGATCGTGTCGAGCGCCGAGCGATCGATCCACCGTTGCTAGGCGACCGGGGCTGTTGCGCCCTCAGGCAGTGCGCTCTGAATCCCCTAAATCCCCCAGATTCAGGGGTTTAGTCTTCATGACGTTTTTCTACTAGGGAAGCGTGGTTTCACACGAGCCACAAAAATTCGAGAGAAAGATTTAGCCCGTAGAGTTGGCCCAGGAGGAATTGGAATTATATCCAGAATATTTTCGCCCGTATGTTACGCCTGAAGGTTGCCCAGTTTCCCTGCTTCACGTCATACGTGGTGGTGTTTGGGATTTTGTATAAATTTCTTTACCTTTCTCGGTTTGCCTTTTGTTCCCTACTGCTTGCCAGGCACTGTGCTAAACAGTAGGAGCACTGAGATGGCTTTAAAGGAACACGATTCCAAGCCCATGAGGTGTGGACACTGAAACGGCACCATACTGCCCGGTACCTTCCATGCACCAGCCGATCAGCAGACCAGGAATTCCTCCGTTCATTCCGAAAGCATTTGTTGAATTACATCTCAGACACTGGGATACAGAACAGGGCATAGATCCTGACTTTCAACTGCTTGCAGTCTAGTGGGGACTGATGAATTTTGAAAATTCAATCTAATGTGAAAGGGCAGAGGCGCAAACAACGTTTTGGACGAGAGCCACAAGTGTTATCAACTCCCATAAAGTTTTCCTTCCTTCACTTCTAAGGAGAAAGCACATTCCAGACGAAGGCACTTATTACTGAACACTGGCCGGTCACGTTGGTTTTGCTCTCTCGTTGAGAAATAGAAATTTAAATCAAGAAAGTCATCATATCACAAGCAAGTGAGACGTTTTCTCTGAAATGCCACTTCAAACCTGCACTCTGATGAGAACGATGATGTATCTTATCAATGGCTGAATGCTTTCACCCTTTCCAGTTTCCGTGCCTATTCTTTTTGAACAGTTATTAAGTTTAGAGGTATATGTAAAAATTAGGTCAGATAAATGTAAGAGCTAAAACCATAATACTTATAGGAGAAAATATAGCAGAAAATCTTTGGGATCTTGATAGAACACAAAAATCATGACCCATTAAAGAATTGACAATGAACCTTATGAACATTAAAACTTTTGGTCTTGAAAAGACACTGTTAACAAAATGAAGAGTCAAGCCAGAGACTGGGAGAAGATATTTTCAAAACAAATATCTGACAATCTTGAACATATAAAGAACACTTTAAACTCAATAATAAGACAAACAAACCAATTTTAAAAATTGGGCAAAATACTCGAACAGCCACTTCACCAAAGAAGACATATGGATGGCAATTAAGCACACAAAAAGCTGTGCAACATCATTAGGTATTAAGAAAATGCAAATGAAAACACAATGAAATAATATTACACATCTACTAGAATGACTAAAATTAAAAAGGCCAACTATAACAAGTGTTGGTGCAGATAATGGGGCACCTGGAACTCTCACTCTTTGCTGGTGAGAATGCAAAATGCTAAGACCTTGTTAGAAAACAACTTGGCAATTTCTTGTACCATACAATTCAGTAATTACACCCCTAGGTATTTACCCAAGAGAAATAAAAACATATGTACAAAGACATATGGACACAAATGTTCATAGCAGCTTTATTTGTAATAGTCCAAAACCAGAAACAACCCGAATGTTCATCAACTGGAATGAATAATTATAGAATATCTATGTAGTGGAATCCTGTCCGGCAATAAAAGGAAACAAGCTATTAATACATGGATAGATCTCAAAAGCCTTATCATGCTAAGTGAAAGAAACCAGACACAAAAGACTACATATTGTATGAGTCCACTATGAAATTCTAGAAAAGGCAAAACTACAGTAATAGAAAGCAGGTAAGTGATGGTCAGGAGTTGGGATAAGGGTGGAATGACATTGCCTACAAAGAGGTATAAAGAAACTTTTAGGAGTGATGGAAATGATTTCGATTGTGGTGATGGTTACATGACTGTAGACGTTTATCAAAATTAATCAGATAGTTGGGCCGGCCCGGTGGTGCACTGGATAGTGCGCCGCTTGGGAAGTGCGGCAGCGCTCCCGCCCGAGGGTTCGGATCCCACATACAGACCAGTTCCCGCTCACTGGCTGAGCGAGGCGCGGGAGCAACACCAAGGGTTGCGATCCCGTTGCCGGTCCAGTACGGGGGCGACACTGAGGGTTGCGATCCGTTGCCGGACATGGAAAAAGACAAAAAAAAAAAAAAAAATTAATCAGATAGTAAACTTAAACATTGGTTAGTTTTATTTTATGTAAAAATACCTAAAAAATCGATTTTAAAAAAATGTCAGGATCACCAAAAATTGAAGCATTCTGACCCCACTCCCCAGAGTAGATTATATTCTAGTCTGTATATTCTCACATTGTATCTATCTTTATTGTAATTAATTGTTTAATTTTCTATCTTGTCAAATAGATTTTAAATTTTGGGGACAATATCCATGTCTATCTTATTTAATGCTACATAATGCAGCATGATACCTGGCATGTAACAGGTGCTCAATAAATATTTGATGAGTAAATGAAAGTCAAACTGGCATAATGTGAAGCTAAAGATACTGACTCACATATGTATTTACGTGGAGATGTACAACAAATGGATGCCCAAAGATTGCCTTAGTTGCTGATTTAGGGTGATTTACCCCTTTAAGGAGACACCACAGTGCCATTAAGACCATAAAATCAATGGAAGAATTACTGACCAGTCAGACAAGTAGAAATGAAGAGTATATAGCCATCTTTTAGAGCCCAAGTATTAGAAAGACTGAAATAAAGATGTAGGGTACAATCAAGGGTAGACCTTAGATATAACTGTAACTAAGACAACCAGAAAACAATCATTAATGTTTCTTCTGGATGGCAGAGACAGATGCAGAGAGCAAATTACCTGTAAACATCTTCTAGCACTAAAGACAAGGACAATGGGTAAACTTAGGCCTAGACTGAGCTGCTCAGGTTATCTTTGTTTCATCTGATCCTAATTAAGGTTTCAAATCATGCTTCTGATCTCACGTTAAGGAGGGTCTAGAAATATGATCTTTCATGTGGTTAAACCTGTTCTTTGGCATTCTTGGGATTCTCCCCCATAAACTTGATACAATTATAATTTATTGTGTCCAATTCTAATTGATCCTTTTTTTTATTTAATATTTTCAGAAAGGCATGGGAAGGCTAGAGTTTATTCAGTAAATATTTGTTGAATGTCTACTATGTGCCAGGCATTGCTCTAGGCACTGGGGATGGCAGTGAACCAAACAGGCAAAACAATACCAGTCCTTATGGAGCTTACATTATAATGAGGAAAACATAATCAAATAAATAATTAAAGTACACAATAATTCAGATAGCAATAAATACCATTTATAAATGTATGGCTGGGAAAATGGATAGAAAGTGCTCACGGATGGGAGCTACAATTTTAAATAAGGTAGACAGAGGAGTCATTATTGAAAGGTGACATCTGAACCAAAGGAGGGGAGGGAGTGATCCACGTGGACATCTAGAAGAATGACTCAGTCAGAAAGACAGGCAAGTGCAAAGGCCCTAAGGCAGGAGAATGCCTGGCCGGTTTGAGGAATTGCAAGTACTCAAGTGACACAAGAACTGTACTGTCTGGTGAGGCTGCCATTACTAGCCACCTGTGGCTACTGAGCATTTGAAATGTGCCAAGTTTAAATTGTGTAATTGCTTTAGAATGCAGGAATAAAACAGAGTTACTGTGTTAATGGCCCTAATTCTTCACTCCTCCCAGTAGCCAGCCCTCTGCAAGGTGACTTTACAGTTCTTCTTGGGAAGAGGTGGAGTCTATTTTTCTGCCCCTTGGTTCTGAGTTTGCCATGCTAGATATGTGCTCAAGCTCAGCTGAGGCCAGCCTAAATCACTGACGCTCAGGCTCAAGAGCCGAACAGATGCTTATTGCTTTAAGCCCCTGAATCTTGGAATGTTTTGTTTGATGGCCATTCTGAGGAGGCTGTTCTTCCCGCAGAGTCTCTGCTCTGATCTTTGGAAACTGGTACATGGGTATAGAAGATTAAGTTCTAGTACTTGGAACATTATTTCTCTTGGGTTAATGTTCCAACTACTTGGTTTACTTCCTCTAAGGGCTGCAGAATTGCTCATTTTTTGAATGTAGTGGATGTGGTATAGAACTGGGGTAATCTTGTGTGTTTTGTTAACTCTAAGAACTTCAAAAGCAGAACACACACTGTAGAACTAATTCAGTTTCTCAGATCTGCAGAAATTATACTGATTTCAGTGGAGGGTCACCCAGGCTATACTTGCTGACGGAATCCTGACTCTACTTGGTGTTCAGAGTAATACCTCTAGATGAGACTGAGCAGAGTAAGAAATTGGGAGGAATGATTTGTGGAATT